ACGGCGTGTGTGGTAACCACGGTACCGGCGTGTGTGGTAACCACGGTACCGGCGTGTGTGGTAACCACGGTACCGGCGTGTGTGGTAACCACGGTACCGGCGTGTGTGGTAACCACGGTACCGGCGTGTGTGGTAACCACGGTACCGGCGTGTGTGGTAACCACGGTACCGGCGTGTGTGGTAACCACGGTACCGGCGTGTGTGGTAACCACGGTACCGGCGTGTGTGGTGACCACGGTACCGGCGTGTGTGGTGACCAGGGTAACGGCGTGTGTGGTGACCATGGTAACGGCGTGTGTGGTAACCACGGTACCGGCGTGTGTGGTAACCACGGTACCGGCGTGTGTGGTGACCAGGGTAACGGCGTGTGTGGTAACCACGGTAACGGCGTGTGTGGTGACCACGGTAACGGCGTGTGTGGTGACCATGGTAACGGCGTGTGTGGTGACCACGGTAACGGCGTGTGTGGTGACCAGGGTAACGGCGTGTGTGGTAACCACAGTACCGGCGTGTGTGGTGACCACGGTAACGGCGTGTGTGGTGACCATGGTAACGGCGTGTGTGGTGACCAGGGTAACGGCGTGTGTGGTAACCACGGTACCGGCGTGTGTGGTGACCACGGTAACGGCGTGTGTGGTGACCACGGTAACGGCGTGTGTGGTAACCACGGTAACGGCGTGTGTGGTAACCACGGTACCGGCGTGTGTGGTAACCACAGTACCGGCGTGTTGTGGTGACCACGGTAACGGCGTGTGTGTGACCAGGTAACGGCGTGTGTGGTGACCAGGGTAACGGCGTGTGTGGTAACCACGGTAACGGCGTGTGTGGTAACCACAGTACCGGCGTGTGTGGTGACCACGGTAACGGCGTGTGTGGTGACCACGGTACCGGCGTGTGTGGTGACCAGGGTAACGGCGTGTGTGGTAACCACGGTAACGGCGTGTGTGGTAACCACAGTACCGGCGTGTGTGGTGACCACGGTAACGGCGTGTGTGGTGACCAGGGTAACGGCGTGTGTGGTGACCAGGGTAACGGCGTGTGTGGTAACCACGGTAACGGCGTGTGTGGTAACCACAGTACCGGCGTGTGTGGTGACCACGGTAACGGCGTGTGTGGTGACCAGGGTAACGGCGTGTGTGGTAACCACGGTACCGGCGTGTGTGGTGACCAGGGTAACGGCGTGTGTGGTAACCACGGTACCGGCGTGTGTGGTAACCACGGTACCGGCGTGTGTGGTGACCAGGGTAACGGCGTGTGTGGTAACCACGGTAACGGCGTGTGTGGTAACCACGGTAACGGCGTGTGTGGTAACCACGGTACCGGCGTGTGTGGTAACCACGGTACCGGCGTGTGTGGTAACCACGGTACCGGCGTGTGTGGTAACCACGGTACCGGCGTGTGTGGTGACCACGGTAACGGCGTGTGTGGTGACCAGGGTAACGGCGTGTGTGGTGACCACGGTAACGGCGTGTGTGGTAACCACGGTAACGGCGTGTGTGGTAACCACGGTACCGGCGTGTGTGGTGACCAGGGTAACGGCGTGTGTGGTAACCACGGTAACGGCGTGTGTGGTAACCACAGTACCGGCGTGTGTGGTGACCACGGTACCGGCGTGTGTGGTAACCACAGTACCGGCGTGTGTGGTGACCACGGTACCGGCGTGTGTGGTGACCAGGGTAACGGCGTGTGTGGTGACCAGGGTAACGGCGTGTGTGGTGACCAGGGTAACGGCGTGTGTGGTAACCACGGTACCGGCGTGTGTGGTAACCACAGTACCGGCGTGTGTGGTGACCACGGTAACGGCGTGTGTGGTGACCAGGGTAACGGCGTGTGTGGTGACCAGGGTAACGGCGTGTGTGGTAACCACGGTAACGGCGTGTGTGGTAACCACAGTACCGGCGTGTGTGGTGACCACGGTAACGGCGTGTGTGGTGACCAGGGTAACGGCGTGTGTGGTAACCACGGTACCGGCGTGTGTGAGATGTGAGTGGCAGGAGGGTGCCTCTGCTGGTCTTTGCCAACAAGATGGACTTGAAGGAGTCTCTGTCAAGCGTGGCCTGTTCCAGCCTCCTGGGGCTACCAGACGTGCACCAGTCTCCCTGGCACATCGTGTGAGACTCACACACACACACACACAGACACACACACAGACACACACACACACAGACACACACACACACACAGACACACACACACACACAGACACAGTCACACACACAGACACACACACACAGACACACACACACAGACACACACACAGACACACACAGACACACAGACACACACACACACACAGACACACACACAGACACCTGTTCCAGCCTCCTGGGGCTACCAGACGTGCACCAGTCTCCCTGGCACATCGTGTGAGACTCACACACAGACACACACACAGACACACACACAGACACACACACACACAGACACACACACACACACAGACACAGTCACACACACAGACACACACACACAGACACACACACACAGACACACACACAGACACACACAGACACACAGACACACACACACAGACACACACAGACACCTGTTCCAGCCTCCTGGGGCTACCAGACGTGCACCAGTCTCCCTGGCACATCGTGTGAGACTCACACACACACACACAGACACAGACACACACACAGACACACACACAGACACACACACACACAGTCACACACACACAGACACCTGTTCCAGCCTCCTGGGGCTACCAGACGTGCACCAGTCTCCCTGGCACATCGTGTGAGACTCACACACACACACACAGACACAGACACACACACAGACACACACACAGACACACACACACACAGTCACACACACACAGACACCTGTTCCAGCCTCCTGGGGCTACCAGACGTGCACCAGTCTCCGTGGCACATCGTGTGAGACTCACACACAGACACACACACAGACACACACACAGACACACACAGACACACAGACACACACACACACAGACACACAGTCACACACACACAGACACACACACAGACACAACAACAACAACAACCGCCATTCGCCACTAAGTGGCGGTGACGTCACCACGATGCTTGTGCCAGGCCAAGTGCACCTTGAGGCCACGTGAAGTGTCGAAAGCCCGCTGGCAGGAGGTCACGGGGCAGACCCAGGTGCCACGGGTCGACTGACCGAGATGACCGAGATGACTGGCTGATGCACCACCTGTGCCCCCTACTGTGCCAACTTGCTGTGCTTTAGCCACCCGGCGCTCCGCTCGTTGTTGTGAGCGTCGCTCCTCCGCCCTCCGTTGTTGTTGGAGGGCGACTGCCTCCAACTGCCCAGTAGCGTCCTTCACGAGCCTCCTCCACTGAGGCCGATCTTGACACCGCTGGTACCAGTCATCGGCAAGTCCACTCAGCTCCACGTCCTCCTGTACCACATCACTCCATCTCTTCTCCAGCCCGTGCCGCGCCCGTCTAGCCCCCTCGATCCGGCCGAACAAAAGCTGTTTAGGCATGCGGTGGCTGGGCATGCGGGCTACATGACCCAGCCAACGCAGCCTTGCCTGCCGGAGGAGCTCACTGATGGGACTTTGCCCAGATCTTTCAAGGATTTGTGAGCTCCTCACACAATCCAGCCTGGTTAAACCCAGGATGGATCGTAGGCAGGCCAGCCTAAATGTTTCCAACCGGCGAAGATGCTCCACCAGGGGGGTCCACGTCTCGCAAGCGTAGAGAAGGGAGGGAATGACCGTGGCCGAGAAGACCTGAAGCTTCGTGCGGAGCGACAGACCAGGTAGCTTCCACACAGCGTTACGCAACCGATGAAAAGATATTGCCGCTCGACTGATTCGGAGTGAGACCTCTGCTGATAGACTGGAGCCGGTCATAAGCACACTGCCCAGGTATGGGAAACTCTCCACTCTCTCCACAACTGCCCCATCACCAATTGGGAGTTGTGGGGGTGGAGTGTCCGATGGTACAAAATACCCAGGCAGGTGCTTGGTTTTGGTGGGGCTGATGGTAAGGCCCCACCTCTTAGTGGCACGCTCCAGTCTCAGCAGCAGCGCCTCCAACTCCTCTTCTGAATGAGCAGCTATTACCAAATCATCGGCATACATAACGTGGTTGACCAATAGGGAGCCATCCCTTGATCGCACCCGGGCGTCGATCAGCCTCCCATTATATCTGTACCAAACGGAAATTCCCCCGGTACAGCTATTGAAGGCTTCACGAACTACGCGGTCAAAATAGATGTTAAATAATGTGGGAGCCAGAGGACATCCCTGTCGCACCCCAAGGTGTACAGGGAAAGGCTCCGACTCCCGGCCACGTAGTTTTACCCGGGCCCGCTCACCATCATGAAGGTCCTTAATGATCGTGAGCAGAGGGTCAGGGACTCCGAAAGCACGAAGAACAACCCAGAGTCCAGTCCTACTGATGGTATCATAGGCCTTGACCAGGTCAATAAAGCAGAGATGTAGGTCTTTTTGGAATTCCCTACACCTCTGCTGTAGCAGACGGACAGAAAATATGGCATCTGTGCAGGACCGCCCTTTCCTGAAACCGCATTGGGGCTCCGCAAGCCCCTCCTCAGCGTGCCTAGCAAGGCGATGTTGAATAATCCTTGCCAGGACCTTACCCGGCACACTGAGGAGTGAGATGCCCCTGTAGTTGTTACAGTCTGTGCGGTCCCCCTTCTTAAAGAGGGGGACCACCAGGGCATCCTTCCAGTCCTGCGGAACCCGTCCAGTGGTCCAGACTGTTGTTATGATGTCATATAGGGCAGTCTGTGCACAAACGCCACCCTCCCTCAGCATTTCGCTTGGGAGATCATCTCTGCCCGGTGCCTTCCCTGGTCTCAGACTCCGGATCGCCCTCAGTACTTCCTCAACAGCTGGAACCTCAGCCAGCCACTCACAGGGGGTGACCTCTTCCAATATTTGAGGCACCGCAGCCTCAGCAGGGTTATCCCCACTTTGTGCCATGATGTTTTCCTGGCTGAGAGAATTTCCCTCCCCCAGGACCTCACAGAAATGCTCAGAAAATCTGCAAACCTGTTCCTGGGGGTCGGAGATTGGATCACCGTTTTTTCCTCTAATGATGGTAATAGGTGTGGCGCTGCAGGTTACTTTTTTGATGGAGTTAAATAGTGATTTGTGATCACGGGCCACTGAGGCAGACTCCATCTCCTCAGCAACCCGCGACCACCACCCATCCTTACAACGCCTTACGGCTCTCCGAACTTCCGAGCGAAGGCTGCGGTAAACCTCCTCATTCTCTGACGTGGGATGCTGTAGGCGATGAGAGTGGGCCTGTCGCTTTTTCTCAATTAACCTGAACACCTCCTCTGTCAGCCAGGGTTTCTGGGGAGGTCTGGACCGCGTACCCAAAGCAGCCATTGCAGCTGCATGAGTCACAGTCTTAAACCTCGCCCATTTACCCTCGACATCAGGTGGAGTGGGGGACGATGCCAACCCCAGCTGCAAGCGATGATGAAATTCTCGCTTGCAACTTTCATCAGCTAACTGAGACCAGGCCACTTTTGGTTGGAATGGGATCCTGGGTGTACACCCACCACCGGAGTGGAAGAAAGGCAGGCGCATCTTACAGATGACTAGTCGATGGTCAGAGGACAGATCAGCTCCACGGTAGGTCCTGGTGTCAAGGACATGGGCTCGCATCCGCTGGTCCGTCACTATGTAGTCCAGCAGATGTTCTTGCTTGGACCCGGCATGCATCCATGATGTTGTGTGGATGCGCCGATGCCGGAAGAGCGTGTTGGTAATTACAAGCCCATGGGCTGCACAAAAATCTAGCAGCCTCCTACCGTTATTATTGAGCTGATCTGGCCCATGCCTTCCAATCACTCCAGACCAGGTGTCAGCATCATGACCAACTCGGGCATTGAAGTCACCCAACAAGATGACTCTGTCCCGAGTGGCCACTTTAGCCAGCACCTGTGACAGGAGGTCATAGAAAGCGTCTGACTCATCGGCTTTGCCTGCATCCCTCCACGGATGTTCGTCTTCGGTGGGGGCATAAGTAACCACGACCACCACTCCTCGCCTCTGGTTGATGGGAAGGCGAGCCCAAAGTATCCTGGGGCTTACAGCTTCCCACACCTCACCGCCACGCTCCCACGCCCCCTTCATTCTTTTGTTCAGAAGAAGAGCCACACCCTGTTGTTTGGCAGTCTCCTGCCCCGAGTAGAGGACTGTCCACCCCTCATGGTGGCAGGAGCCAGAACCGGTCCACCGGACCTCCTGAATGCCACAGAGATCCAGGCGGTACCGGTCCAGCTCCCGACAGAGGAGTGGCAGCCTCTCCTCCGCAGTGAGCGTTCGAACATTCCACGTGGCCATCCGCAATGGTTTTTTGTTGTTTCTGGAGGAGCCCCGAGGGTGAAAATTCAATCTCCTGGCTCCGCCAAATGGGGTTTGGCCAGGAGACGTCATAAAAGCCTGACCCCCCGGGGCCTCCGGCACAAGCTTATTTGTTACAGGTTTATGTTTAATTCGTGGTTTAGTGGTAATGAATTGAAGGTGGAGGGGTTACCAGCCCCTCACACCCGTCCAGAGCCCCCGTTTAGCCACTGTGGTGGTCACAGACGCCATGAGGGGAGAGGCCAATGGGCATTGGCCCTCCCCCCACAGCAATGTCCACGACAGTGTTGCCCGTCCGGCACCGCGAGGAGGTAGGAGGTTGTTTTGCCGGACACACACACAGACACACACACAGACACACACAGACACACACACAGACACACACACACACCTGTTCCAGCCTCCTGGGGCTACCAGGCGTGCACCAGTCTCCCTGGCACATCGTGTGAGACTCACACACACAGACACACACACACAGACACACACACAGACACACACAGACACACAGACACACACACACACAGACACACACACAGACACACAGTCACACACACACAGACACACAGACACACACACACAGACACACACAGACACACACACAGACACACACACAGACTCACACACAGACACACACACACAGACACACACACAGACACACACACAGACACACACAGACACAGACACACACACAGACACACACACAGACACACACACAGACATGCACACAGACACACACAGACACACACACACAGACACACACACAGACACACAGACACACACACAGACACACACACAGACATACACACAGACATGCACACAGACACACACACACAGACACACACACACAGACACACAGACACACACACAGACACACACACAGTCACACACAGACACACAGACACACACACACACAGACACACACAGTCACACACACACAGACACACACAGACACACACAGTCACACACACACAGACACACACACAGACACACAGACACACACACACACAGTCACACACACACAGACACCTGTTCCAGCCTGCTGGGGCTACCAGACGTGCACCAGTCTCCCTGGCACATCGTGTGAGACTCACACACACACAGTCACACACACACAGTCACACACACAGACACACAGACACAGACACACGCAGAGATACACACACAGACACACACAGACACAAACGCACACAAACACAAACAGGCACACACAGACACACAGACACACACACACAGACTCACACACACAGACACACACACACAGACACACACAGACACACACACAGACACACAGACACACACACACACAGACACACACAGTCACATACACACAGACACACACAGACACACACAGTCACACACACACACAGACACAACAACAACAACAACAACCGCCATTCGCCACTAAGTGGCGGTGACGTCACCACGATGCTTGTGCCAGGCCAAGTGCACCTTGAGGCCACGTGAAGTGTCGAAAGCCCGCTGGCAGGAGGTCACGGGGCAGACCCAGGTGCCACTGGTCGACTGACCGAGATGACCGAGATGACTGGCTGATGCACCACCTGTGCCCCCTACTGTGCCAACTTGCTGTGCTTTAGCCACCCGGCGCTCCGCTCGTTGTTGTGAGCGTCGCTCCTCCGCCCTCCGTTGTTGTTGGAGGGCGACTGCCTCCAACTGCCCAGTAGCGTCCTTCACGAGCCTCCTCCACTGAGGCCGATCTTGACACCGCTGGTACCAGTCATCGGCAAGTCCACTCAGCTCCACATCCTCCTGTACCACATCACTCCATCTCCTCTCTATCCACTCAGCTCCACGTCCTCCTGTACCACATCACTCCATCTCTTCTCTATCCACTCAGCTCCACGTCCTCCTGTACCACATCACTCCATCTCTTCTCTATCCACTCAGCTCCACGTCCTCCTGTACCACATCACTCCATCTCTTCTCTATCCACTCAGCTCCACGTCCTCCTGTACCACATCACTCCATCTCTTCTCTAGCCCGTGCCGCGCCCGTTTAGCCCCCTCGATCTGGTCATCATCACCGCCCCCCCCTTCATTCGAGAAGAGCCACCGTCCCCTGTTGTTTGGCATCTTTCCTGCCCCCATCCCCACGCACGGCCACTCCCAGCGCTGACTGGAGCCAGAACCGGTCTATTGGCAACGTGTCCTGTGGTTGTCCTGAGTCAGGACGGTCCCGTCGCTAGGGGAAAGGCAGCAGCCTTCTCTCTGCAGTGAACATTCAACGTACACACACAGACTCACTGACACACAGACTCACACAGAGAGACACACTCACACACAGACTCACTCACACACACAGACTCACACAGATACACACAGACTCACAGATTCACACAGAGACACACAGACTCGCTCACACACACAGAGACACACAGACTCACTCACACAAATTCACACAGAGACTCACTCACACAAATTCACACAGAGACTCACAGACTCGCTCACACAGAGACCCACAGACTCACGCAGAGATTCACTCACTCACACAGAGACTCACAGACTCGCTCACACAGAGACCCACAGACTCACGCAGAGATTCACTCACTCACACAGAGACTCACAGACTCGCTCACACAGAGACCCACAGACTCACGCAGAGACTCACTCACTCACACAGAGACCCACAGACTCACCACACAGAGACCCACAGACTCACCACACAGAGACCCACAGACTCTCCACACAGAGACCCACAGACTCACTCACTCACACAGAGACCCACAGACTCACTCACACAGAGACCCACAGACTCACTCACACAGAGACCCACAGACTCATTCACACAGAGACCCACAGACTCACGCAGAGACTCACTCACTCACACAGAGACCCACAGACTCACCACACAGAGACCCACAGACTCACCACACAGAGACCCACAGACTCACCACACAGAGACCCACAGACTCACTCACACAGAGACCCACAGACTCACTCACACAGAGACCCACAGACTCGCCACACAGAGACCCACAGACTCATCACACAGAGACCCACAGACTCATCACACAGAGACCCACAGACTCACTCACACAGAGACCCACAGACTCACTCACACAGAGACCCACAGACTCACTCACACAGAGACCCACAGACTCACCACACAGAGACCCACAGACTCACTCACACAGAGACCCACAGACTCATCACACAGAGACCCACAGACTCACCACACAGAGACCCACAGACTCATCACACAGAGACCCACAGACTCATCACACAGAGACCCACAGACTCACCACACAGAGACCCACAGACTCACCACACAGAGACACACAGACTCGCCACACAGAGACCCACAGACTCACTCACACAGAGACCCACAGACTCACTCACACAGAGACCCACAGACTCACTCACACAGAGACCCACAGACTCACTCACACAGAGACCCACAGACTCACCACACAGAGACCCACAGACTCACCACGCAGAGACCCATAGACTCACCACACAGAGACCCACAGACTCACTCACACAGAGACCCACAGACTCACCACACACAGACCCACAGACTCACTCACACAGAGACCCACAGACTCATCACACAGAGACCCACAGACTCAACACACAGAGACCCACAGACTCACCACACAGAGACCCACAGACTCACCACACAGAGACCCACAGACTCACCACACAGAGACACACAGACTCACCACACAGAGACCCACAGACTCACCACACAGAGACACACAGACTCACCACACAGAGACCCACAGACTCACCACACAGAGACCCACAGATTCACCACACAGAGACCCACAGACTCACCACACAGAGACCCACAGACTCACCACACAGAGACACACAGACTCACCACACAGAGACCCACAGACTCACCACACAGAGACACACAGACTCACCACACAGAGACCCACAGACTCACCACACAGAGACCCACAGATTCACCACACAGAGACCCACAGACTCACCACACAGAGACACAGACTCACCACACAGAGACACACAGACTCACCACACAGAGACACACAGACTCACCACACAGAGACACACAGACTCATCACACAGAGACACACAAACTCATCACACAGAGACACACAGACTCATCACTGATGAAGATGACGATGTTGTTGATGATGTTGTTGATGATGTTGATGATGTTGATGTTGTTGATGTTGTGGTTGATGATGATGTTGTTGACGTTGTTTATTTATGATGTTGATGTTGATGATGGTGTTGATGTTGTTGATGATGTTGATGATGTTGTTGATGTCGTGGTTGATGTTGTTGATGTTGTTGACGTTGTTGTTGTTGTTGATGTTGATGATGTTGTTGCAGTGCGAGTAACGCTCTGAAGGGAGAGGGACTGCAAGAGGGAGTGGATTGGTTACAAGGTAACAGCAACATCATCAATATCATCAACATCATCAACATCAACATCATCAACATCATCAACATCAACATCATCAACATCAACATCATCAATATCATCAACATCATCAACATCAACATCATCAACATCATCAACATCATCAACATCATCAACATCAACATCATCAACATCAACATCATCAATATCATCAACATCATCAACATCAACATCATCAACATCATCAACATCAACATCATCAACATCATCAACATCAACATCATCAACATCATCAACATCAACATCATCAACATCAACATCATCAACATCATCAACATCAACACCAACACATCAACAACATCATCAACAACATCATCATCAACATCATCAACATCAACACATCAACATCATCAACATCATCATCAACATCATCAACATCAACACATCAACATCATCACTTCAACATCCCACCACATCAACACATCAACATCAACACATCAACATCATCAACACATCAACATCATCACATCAACAACAACATCACATCAACATCAACACATCATCAACACATCATCAACACATCAACATCATCAACACATCAACATCATCAACACATCAACATCAACACATCAATATCATCAACATCATCAACATCATCAACACCATCAACATCATCAACATCATCAACATCAACATCATCAACATCATCAACATCAACATCATCAACATCAACACATCAACATCATCAACATCATCAACATCATCAACATCATCAACATCAACAACATCAACACATCAACATCATCAACATCAACACATCAACATCATCAACATCATCAACAACAACACATCAACATCAACACATCAACACATCAACACATCAACATCATCATCATCAACACATCAACATCAACAACATCAACAACATCTACAACATCATCAACATCAACAACTTCAACATCAACAACATCAACACATCAACATCATCAACATCATCAACATCATCAACAACATCAACAACATCAACAACAACAACAACATCAACATCATCAACATCATCAACATCATCATCAAAATCATCAACATCAACACATCAACATCAACAACATCAACACATCAACAACAACATCAACAACAACATCAACATCAACAACATCAACAACATCAACAACATCAACACAACAACATCAACATCATCAACATCATCAACATCAACACATCAACATCAACAACATCAACATCAACACCATCAACAACAACAACATCAACACAACAACATCAACATCATCAACATCAACACATCGTCCACATCAACATCAACAACATCATCAACACATCAACATCAACACATTTCGTTAAAGTCCACGTAGGTAGCAAATAAATCACCAGTGACGATTATCTGAGCCGGTCATGGGCCTCCCCTAGGTCGACTCAGCCTTAAATGAGTACCTGGTGCGGTGTGTAGTAAACATCGCCACCACTGGGGAGACAAAGGCGGCCGGGCGTGGTGCTGGCCACCCACCCCCTCGTGTGCCGTGCCGGCCTTCATAGGTGCTCGCTAACAGCACTTGCCCCTACAGTCTGCTAAGGCTATATGGGGGAGCTTTGTTGTACGTGTGTGTGTACGTGCGTGTGTGTGTGTACGTGTGTGTGTGTGTGTGTGCGTGTGTACGTGTGCGTGTGTACGTGTGTGTGTGTACGTGTGTGTGTACGTGTGCGTGTGTGCGTGTACGTGTGTGTGCGTGTGTGTGTGTGTACGTGTGTGTGTACGTGTGTGTGTGTGTACGTGTGTGTGTGTGTGTACGTGTGTGTGTGTACGTGTGTGTGTACGTGTGTGTGTGTACGTGTGTGTGTACGTGTGTGTGTACGTGTGTGTGTGTGTACGTGTGTGTGTGTACGTGTGTTGTGTACGTGTGTAGTGTGTGTGTGTACGTGTGTGTGTGTGTGTGTACGTGTGTGTGTGTGTACGTGTGTGTGTGTGTGTACGTGTGTGTGTGTGTACGTGTGTGTGTGTACGTGTGTGTGTGTACGTGTGTGTGCGTGTGTGTGTACGTGTGCGTGTGTACGTGTGTGTGTGTGTGTACGTGTGTGTGTACGTACGTGTGTGTACGTGTGTGTGTGTACGTGTGTGTATGTGTACGTGTGTGTGTGTGTACGTGTGTGTGTGTGTACGTGTGTGTGTCTACGTGTGTGTGTACGTGTGTGTACGTGTGTGTGTGTACGTGTGTGTGTACGTGTGTCTGTACGTGTGTCTGTACGTGTGTGCGTGTGTGTACGTGTGTGCGTACGTGTTTATGTACGTGTGTATGTGTACGTGTGTGTGTACGTGTGTCTGTACGTGTGTCTGTACGTGTGTGCGTGTGTGTACGTGTGTGCGTACGTGTGTGCGTGTACGTGTGTGTGTACGTGTTTATGTACGTGTGTATGTGTACGTGTGTGTGTGTACACGTGTGTGTGTGTCTGTGTGTGTGCAGATCAGATCCGTTCAATGAAGACTTGAAGGACAGAACAACTACACACACACCCACACACTCACCCACACACTCACCCACACACTCACCCACACACTCACCCACTCACCAACACACTCACCAACACACTCACCAACACACTCACCAACACACTCACCAACACACTCACCAACACACCCACACACTCACCAACACACTCACCAACACACTCACCCGCACACTCACCCGCACACTCACCAACACACTCACCAACACACTCACCAACACACTCACCAACACACTCACCCACACACTCACCAACACACTCACCCGCACACTCACCCGCACACTCACCAACACACTCATCAACACACTCACCCACACACTCACCCACTCACCAACACACTCACCAACACACTCACCAACACACTCACCCACACACTCACCCACTCACCAACACACTCACCCACACACTCACCGGCACACTCACCCACACACTCACCCACACACTCACCCACACACTCACCCACACACTCACCAATACACCCACTCACCCACTCACTCACCCACCCACTCACCCACCCAGCCAACTCAGTCACCCACTCACCCATACACTCACCCACTCACTCACCCACACACTCACTCACCCACTCACTCACCCACTCACCCACCTACTCACCCACCTACTCACCCACTCACGCCCTTACTCTGTTGTATGTTAAGTTATACTTTGTCCGAGTAAACATTCCGCTTGTGTTTTACCGAAGGTGTCGATGTTCTTGAATGTACGAGTGTGTGTATCGATATGTGATTGTGTCTGTGTGTGTATCGATCTGTGATTGTGTTAGTGTGTGTATCGATCTGTGATTGTGTTAGTGTGTGTATCGATATGTGATTGTGTTAGTGTGTGTATCGATATGTGATTGTGTTAGTGTGTGTATCAATATGTGAATGTGTTAGTGTGTGTATCAATATGTGAATGTGTTAGTGTGTGTATCAATATGTGATTGTGTTAGTGTGTGTATCGATATGTGATGAAAGGGTAAAAAACAATTATCATATTTTTACTGGCAAATGAGGTTCCAATGGTGTAAATGCTTCACCCCGAGCTCTCATACTCTGATGGTGCATTGTCTTTGAGTTGTGTGCCTTTTGGCGTCATCTGGTCCAACACCAAGTGAGACTAGGCTCTAAGGAAAGCTGTCTCGGGTGTGGACCAATCAACTTCAAGGACAGTGTATATTTATATCAGAGCTGTGTTTTTTGTTTGCATTACGACCGCAGATATTGTGGTCAATGCAAACATGACTCCTCGTAAAAAAGGTTTTGTTGCCAGATAAAAGGGTAAAAAAAACAATTATCAGTCATTCTCTTAAGTTTTTTCGGTAAAGTCACGTAGGTAAAAAAATTGGAATTAAAATTAATAAAAATAAACTAATAAAAAATCACGACGTTTCGGAGGCAACACGAGTCTCCGTCATCAGGAGGGACCGTCACAGCCAGATTTGCTGCATCAGCGGAGACTTGTGTTGCCTCCGAAACGTCGTGATTTTTTATCATTTTATTTTTATGAATTTTAAGTTTTTACCGACATGGTGACTTTACCGAAAAACTAAGCGTATGAATGCTTGCAGTCACGAAAGCTTAAAATCTAGAATCAATTATCAGTCGGCAGGCTGTCGGCATCGCGGTGACCAGCGATGGTGAAGACGGTGGTGACGACGATGCGGCAAGTAAGTTCGTGAAATCTTTCGTTTAAACGGGGGGGGGGGGGCGGTGGCGGGGGGCACATAAAGTAAAGTTAAACTACACCGAGCATTTTTCGATGTAAAGCTTCTTTCGTGACTGCAGCAGGGATTCATCTTCTTGGTTCTTTCGGTAAAGTCATCACGTAGAAGGGAAGTAGTAAAATAATAAAAAATAATTAAATAATACAATTCTTACGCCGTTTCGGCCACAACGCAAGCAGCCGTCCTCAGGTGAAGAACAGGTCTGTCGGGGAGACAGCGTCTGAATGAACACCACCAAGCTTGGCAGCGTATATTTAAGCTGGGTTAGGGGGGGAAGAGCGCCTTGACAAAATAATTTGCATATCAACAGAAGAATTTAGCATAAATTTCGATGTAAAGCTTCTTTCGTGACTGCAGCAGGGATTCATCTTCTTGGTTCTTTCGTTAAAGTCATCACGTAGAAGGGAAATAATAAAATAATAAAAATAAAACAATTCTCACGACGTTTCGGCCACAACGCAAGCAGCCGTCCTCAGGTGAAGAACAGGTCTGTCGGGGAGACAGCGTCTAAAGGATGTACAGTTCGTGCACAGGTCACACGTGTGAAACAAACAGCAGAGCTTGCCTTCGAATCTTCAAATCTTCAAACCTCTTCATTCAGACGCTGTCTTTCCGACAGACCTGTTCTTCACCTGAGGACGGCTGCTTGCGTTGTGGCCGAAACGTCGTGAGAATTGTATTTTATTATGTTTTATTATTTAATTTTATTATTTCCCTTCTACGTGACTTTACCGAAAGAACTAAGAAGATGAATCCCTGCAGTCACGAAAGCTTTAAATCGAAATTTATGCTAAATTCTTCTGTTGATATGCAAATTATTTTGTCAAGGCGCTCTTCCCCCCCTAACCCAGCTTAAATATACGCTGCCAAGCTTGGTGGTGTTCATTCAGACGCTGTCTTTCCGACAGACCTGTTCTTCACCTGAAGACGGCTGCTTGCGTTGTGGCCGAAACGTCGTGAGAATTGTATTTTATTATGTTTTATTTTTTGATTACTTCCATTCTACGTGACTTTACACCGAGCATCTTCTTGTTTTCCTCTGATCGTAAACAACAACAACAACAACAGCAACACGGTGAGAAGATCCACTTCCAACGACAGCCCCGAGCTCTCGCTCAGAGCTCCCTTTTATTCTCCCGGCGTGGCCTTTGTTCCGCCCTAGCCACGCCTCCTCTTCTGGAACCTTCTTGTAAGTTCCAGGGGCTTCCGGATGGACCCCTTCCTGAGCTTTTCCCTTAGTCCCCCTTTCGTGTATGCTGTAGCCTGCTGACGTGCGTATTGTTGTGTATGTCGGGTCTTGAAAAATTAATAAAAATAATTTAAATTAAATTAAAATTGCCAGTACCACTTTCGGTCAGCAGCCAGCGCTATTACTCTACAAATGTACGAGTGTGTGTATCTATATTTGGAATGTACTAGTGTGTATGGATATGTGAATGTGTTAGTGTGTGTATCTATATGTGAATGTACTAGTGTGTGTATATGTGAATGTGTGAATGTGTTAGTGTGTGTATCAATATGTGAATGTACTAGTGTAGACACCCCGAATGGAGCATCTTCGCCGGTTAGAAACAATTAGGCTGGCCTGCCTACGATCCATCCGGGGTTTAACCAGGCTGGATTGTGTGAGGAGCTCACAAATCCTTGAAAGATCTGGACAAAGTCCCATCGGTGAGCTCCTCCGGCAGGCAAGGCTGCGTTGGCTGGGTCATGTAGCCCGCATGCCCAGCCACCGCATGCCTAAACAGCTTTTGTTCGGCCGGATCGAGGGGGCTAAACGGGCGCGGCACGGGCTGGAGAAGAGATGTAGTGATGTGGTACAGGAGGACGTGGAGCTGAGTGGACTTGCCGATGACCGGTACCAGTGGTGTCAAGATCGGCCTCTGTGGAGGAGGCTCGTGAAGGACGCTACTGGGCAGTTGGAGGCAGTCGCCCTCCAACAACAACGGAGGGCGGAGGAGCGACGCTCACAACAACGAGCGGAGCGCCGGGTGGCTAAAGCACAGCAAGTTGGCACGGTAGGGGGCACAGGTGGTGCATCAGCCAGTCATCTCGGTCATCTCGGTCAGTCGACCCGTGGCACCTGCTGGGTCTGCCCCGTGACCTCCTGCCAGCGGGCGTTCGACACTTCACGTGGCCTCAAGGTGCACATGGCCTGGCACAAGCGTCGTGGTGACGTCACCGCCACTTAGTGGCGAATGGCGGTTGTTGTTGTTGTTGTGTGTGTGTATATATTAGAGTGTGTGTATCTTAGTGAGTGTGTGTATTTCTATTAGTGTGAGTGTGTGTGTGTATATTAGAGTGTGTGTATTTTAGTGTGTGTATTTCTAGTAGTGTGAGTGTGTGTATATTAGAGTGTGTGTATCTTAGTGAGTGTGTGTATTTCTATTAGTGTGAGTGAGTGTATCTATTAGAGAGTGTGTGTATCTTAGTGAGTGTGTGTATTTCTATTAACTGTGACTGTGTGTCTATTAGAGAGTGTGTGTGTGTGAGTTTATATATGAACGTGTGTAGGTTTTGCGGTGACCGGTTTCACGCGCACAGGAAACCTGCACTGCTCACGAATGGCTGAGAACGAAACCCTGAGACTTGAAGTCGTTTCCTTTCCCTCTCGACAACTCGGAAACTAAACCCTGAAGAGTCTGGAAACACTTGCTCCGCTCCCTCGCCCAAGCCTCCACTCGCAAACTCATTTCGATCTCTCTCCGTCCAACTTTAGAGAGGGGAAAAACAGCATCATGATCATCATCATAATCATGAACATCATTATCATAGAAGGGAAGTAATAAAATAATAAAAATAAAACATAATAAAACAATTCTCAGTGAGAATTATTTTAATGTTTTATTTTTATTATTTTATTACTTCCCTTCTACGCGACTTTACCGAAAGAACCAAGAAGATTAATCCCTGCAGTCACGAAAGCTTTAAATCGAAATCATTATCATAATCATCATAATCATCATAATCATCATAATCATCATAATCATCATAATCATCATCATCATAATCATCATAATCATCATCATTATCATTTACATCATCAAATCATCATCATAATCATCATCATTATCATTTACATCATCATAATCATCATCATCATAATCATCATTATCATTTACATCATCATAAGCATCATCATAAACATCGTAATATTCATCATCATAATCATCATCATAATCATCATAATCATCATAAACATAATCATAATAATCATCATCATCATAAACATCATCATTATCATAATCATCATCATCATGATCATCGTAATATTCATAATCATAAACATCATTATCATGAAGATCATCATAATCATCATCATAATCATCATTATCATGAACATCATCACAATCATCATCATAATCATCATTATCATATTAATTATCATTATAATTACCATAATCATAATATTCATCATTATAATCATATAATTTGTAACGCATTCAGTTGTTCAATCCCATCGTCATTATTGTCGTATATGATGATGGTGGAGTGCACATCATAGTATTGTATAGTGTAGTGTATATAGTGTAGTGGGTAGTGTAGTGTATAGTGTAGTGTATATAGTGTAGTGTATAGTGTAGTGTATATAGTATAGTGTATAGTGTAGTGTATATAGTGTAGTGTATAGTGTAGTGTATAGTGTAGTGGGTAGTGTAGTGTAGTGGGTAGTGTAGTGTATAGTGTAGTGGGTAGTGTAGTGTATAGTGTAGTGTATAGTGTAGTGGGTAGTGTAGTATATAGTGTAGTGTACTAGTACAGCACTAGTGTATAGTGTAGTGTGTAGTGTAGTGTATAGTGTAGTGTGTAGTGTATAGTGTAGTGTACTAGTACAGCACTAGTGTATAGTGTAGTGTGTAGTGTATAGTGTAGTGTACAGTCGTGTATAGTAGTGTAGTGTATAGTGTAGTGTATACTCGTGTATAGTGTAGTGTGTAGTATTGTGTAGTGTATATTGTAGTATATAGCAG